AGTACTTAATACATGCAGGGCACTGTAGTGATCTCTATTAGCCATTCTAGCTCTAAAATCATATGATACTATGAAACAGAGTCAAGTTATCTCCAAAGATGCTTATAGAGTTTTACAGATGGGAGGGCTAAAGAAAAGGTGCTGGTGTGTCAATTTTTTGGGGGGAGAAATGGAGCAGTGTGGGGGGAGAGGAGCTTTCCTACCAAACTAGTCTGTGATTAATAATGTGGAGAAAGAAAAACACAAAATCATTGAAGATATGATAACATGTGGACAATGAAGGAGAAACATTACTGAATGCCAAGTTAATTCAAAACCTAAATTCTTTGTAAACTTATTACTTTGTTTCATTCATTCAATGAGCATTTATTAAGGGCTTATTTTGTGTAGATCATTGTCTCATGGCAATGAACTCATGGAAATTAGTAGGACAAAATCCAAACTTTTCCTCATGGCTTTTAAGTCCTTCTACAGTTTTGTTCCAACCTACTTGGACAGTCTTATTTTGTACGCTTTTGCATACGCTATGCACTGGCCAGAAGGGATTCTTTGTTCTTTGCTGCTCGCCTAATGTCTCCCATTTCCATGCATTCAAGCAGTCCCTTCCCCAGAACTGGAATACATTCCCTCCTCATCTCTATCTGGGAACGTTTTTCTCTTCTTTAAGGAGCCAGCATGGGTGTTACTTCCTCCATCAGACCTTTCTTCATTTCCCCAAGATGGAAATGATCTTGTCCTCATTTCCCACAAATATATTGTCTAGAGCTCTCCTTTGCCCTTATCTCATTCTACTCTGTATTATCTTTATTTGTGTATTTGTCACATCACTCCTATTATATGGGATATTTCTTGAAGTCAAGGGTGCCATTTTCCATCTTTCTATCTCTAGTGGATAGTATTCATATAATAACTATTTGCTGAGTTAAATTGAAAGAGTGGGTTCTGCCAAAGTTTCTAGATTATTTTTAAAGTGAATGCTTTTGCCACTGTTAAAAAACAATATGAGAACTACTTTCCTAGAAAGTAGTTTGTTTGATTCCTTAAATAAGGAAGAGAGTGGGCAGAACAGGAAACTTTGAAGATGGTGTTCTGTTCCCTCTTGTAGTTTTAATTTATTCATATTGCTTCTTTCTTTTGCTCAGCCTCTGACTTTTTTGACTTTTCATAACTTTCCTGTGCTTCAAGTTCACAATTATGTGGGCCAGAGCAGGGCAAACCTTGCTAGAATAGGCTTGGGTCAGAACTCTGTCAGTGCTAGACAAGTGTCCAGCAAAGACAGATCACCAGGCTGAGTTCACAACTATTACCAGCCATGCTCTGATACTCCATTAACTCTGGCCTTGCCTGTAAGGCAGAACCAGGGAGTAAGCATATGTCCTGTTGCCTCACCCCTTCTTATACTGACAAACATTCTAGGACCAAGTGTCATCCTCTACTCTCCCCCCCATTCTGACTCCCTCTACCTTGGCCATCACCACTGAAAAGCTAATCTAGTGAACATTGTAACAAACTCTGGGACAGAGATGACCTGGCTAAGGATTAGAGGGTGAATTCTTCAAACATATCTCACCTTTCTATAACCACTCAGGGTCCAGGGCTCGCTGACCCTTGACTTGACCATTAGGCAGAATCAAGCATTCAAAATCTGCATTGCTATTGCATGAGTGCCTCTTCCTACCACCACTTTCCATATCTGAATCGAGGATTGATGATCAAATCAAATTATGATTGATTGTTCCTATTAAGGACATGATAATCTACTGCCTTCTGGCTCCTCTCAGAAACTCTGTGATTCATTGGGCTGCCTAGGCTGAAAGCTTACTCTTCTGACCACCACCCATTACTACCCACTTCTTCATAACGATCTATATTAATTGAATCCTGACCTTCTATACCTCTCACTTCATTCTACTCTACTTTTCCATTGCACTCTCTAGGGACCCCATTCTTAGTTAACAGACTTCCCTTAATATTAGTACTGAGTCTTATCCTTAGAATTACTTTGCTTATATTTCATACTTAATTTCCTTAGGATGTGCTAATTCAGCCCAGTAGAATGTAAGTTCTTTGAGGAAAGAGACTGTTTCATTTTTCCCTTTGTTTTCTCAGAACCCAAGATAGTGCCTAACACATAGCAGGTATTAATAAAATGGTTTGGATTAATTGAATTGAAAGTTCAAGTGCTGAAACAGGAGTCAGAGTCCAGGGTGCAGAGTTCTCAGTTCAAATTGGGATCAAGGGAAAAGAAAGAGAACAGAGTTTAGACAAGGAGAACAGTTTCTTCCCATCAAGTATAAGCAGGTGGAGCCCCATGACTGTACAATCAGGGCATTATTATGGATCTTATATCAGAGACATATGATCTCTTCCTGGGTTTTAGGAAGGTAACAGTAGGTGGGTAATTCCCCAGGTGCTTGTGACTTCCAAAGAAGCAGAAAGTGGGGATTTCTTAAATTTCTACTGCTTTCCTCCCACTCTTCCTGCATTGAGATAACACATTCCAGAGAAGCAGGTTCCTTACCTTACCCTGTTTTCACAAATGCCATGCTTATTCTTGCCTCTGTACCTTTATTTATGCTACTCTACCTACTTTCAAATCATAGAATTTCAGAACTGGGAAGCTGTTATCTACTCAAAAGTTGCCTCTTCTTAGAGGTAGCTAAGTGGCATAGTGAATAGTGTTCTTGACCTGGAGGTAGGAAGATCCAAGTTCACAGTCTCAGACACTTACTAGCTGAGGGACTCTGGGCAAGTCACCTAACCTCAGTTTTTTCAGCTGCAAAATGGGGATAATAATAGCACCTACCTCCCAGGGTTGTTGTGAGGATAAAATTAGATATTTATTTTTACAAAGTGTTTGACAAATTTTAAAGTTTTGTATAAATTCTAGCTCATTTCTATTCAATTGGAAATTCCTTTGGAAGAGGAATTTTGTACTAATGTCCTCTCAGAAGAATCAATGGGGCATGTGCTTTCTAAGAGCAAAAGAGTGATATAGGATGGGTATTCCAGGATGAATCTCCTATAGGAAGAAAGACTAGAGCCTGGGTACTACTTTACCTTTTCCTGATGAGTGTATCCTGTCTTCCATTTTCGAGGGAGAACATGGTACCAAGTTCACCCAGCCTTTCTGAATCACCAATTCCAAAGGAGCGGCTCAAGAAGCAGAAAGGAAGAAGCCCTGAATCTGGAAAGAGAAGACCTGAGTCCTGCCTTTGCCCCTTACTAACTGTGGGACATTGGTCAAGCCACTAAAGTCATCTGGGCCTCAATTTCCTCTTACTGAAACTGGGGAAAAAAACTTGCAGCATCTACTACGCGAGATTACTGTGAAAGAAGAGCAATGCCTTCTATAAATGCAAAGTATTGTTAATAGCAAATATCACAATAATTCTGTGTGTCAGATTGCTCTCCAGGGAAAAGAGATGTTGTTTTGGGAGTAGACTTTGTTATCACTATCAGAGCTGACTTGTCAAGCTCCTTCAAGAACCAGGCAGCTCTGGGTCTTTAAAGCAAATCTTTCCAAATACAGGCACTGTTAGTGTCTCTTGCTTCTGGCCAATCTCCAGGTCCAAGACTCCAGACCCTTTGCATCTGCTATCTTCCTCTCTGCTTCTGGAATGCTGACTTGTTTCTCCCTTCAAGTCAATTGAACAAACAAGTAAAAAGTGTTTATTAAATGCCTGTTTTGTGTGAGACACCAGGGAGAGAAAGGCAAAAAGGAAACCATCCCTCCTTTCAAGTAGTTCTATTTGTTTTTTGGAGGTGGGGACAGGGATAAAAATAGACAGATGAGTAAATGCAAGACAGTTTGAGAAGGTAAATGCACTGACAAGTGGGGCCTTGAAAGGCTGCACAGAGGAGGGGACACATCATCTGAACCATGAAGGCAGAGGAAAATTCTGAGAAGCAGAGATAGGGTACATTTCAATCATTGGAAGATTGCTTGTTTAAATGCATGGAGATAGGAGATGGAGTGTCCAGTACAGAGGATAACTAGTAATACAATTTACCTGGAATGTATAGTCCAGGATGCTGTGAGGTATCAAATGAGATAATGGATGTAAAATACTTTGCAAACTGTAAAGTGCTATATACAGACTGGTATAATAATATTAATGATAATAATAATTATAATAAATATGAATTATAACTAAGAAGATGACGACAACAACAACTACTATGGTCTATATCAGTCTATTAGTTTACCATCTATTAATCTATAGTCTAAGGCTATTAGTCTATAGTCTATGACTTCATTCCTTGAGCCTTCTCTTGCACTCCTACTAAGCTCAAGCAATGTTAAAAGAACAACACAGGAGTGTGCTGGTAAATGTTTAACAATCAGGCTCTCCAGGGAGGAAAATGTATGTATACTCACATTTAAGCTTAATAAGAATTATTAAAATTTGCTTAAGTCTGGACCATGAAGAAAACAATCAAACAAGCTGAAAATCACACTGAAAATGTAACTCTCACAAGCTGGTTAAAAGTTAGCTCCTGCACATCCCTGAGGGGACATTATGGAGAATAATGTGAAATAAGTCAAAAAAGGTAAGCTAGAATGCAATGGTAGCATTTGTATTTGACCTAGAGACAATAATAACTAAAGATTTTTGAACAGCAAACTTGACGTGATCAGACTTATGCCTCAGGAAGATTATTTTCACAGCTAAGTAGAGGATGGAATTGGAAAGGGGAGAGTGTTGATGGAGGCAAACACCTGAGGAAGCTATTTCCAAAGTCAAGGTAAAAGGTGAAGGATGTCTGAGAAAGGTCAGTGGACATATAAGTGCAAAGAAAGGTATGGACCTATTAGATTTGTATTTCAACTTTGATCACCTGAATCTTTCCCTCTCCTGCTCCTCACAGGTTTCCAGCAAATCACTTTCCTCCTTCTATAGGGAATTTTCCTCATCTTTAGAAATGTGTGAGGTGAGGTAGGCTATATGATCTCTAAAGTCCTTTAGAACTCAAATCTTATGATCCATGGATTTTACCTGGTCTTTGCATATTAACAGCTGGTTGCCTAGTCCATTCTCCAATGCAGAATTTAATGAAATGAAAACAGACTGCCTTCTTCTGTCAGATCTACTGTCCTGGTGGAATCCTTGTATCATAGGCTGCATTTTGTAATCTCAGCGACAGATGAGTGAGTCTAGTTCAGTTAGTCTGGTTCAAGATCTGAAGAAATAAAGACATGGACACATTTTATGACTACAGCATCCAAATCATTGGCAGTACCCACACACAGATGCACACGCATAGATGCAGATGCACACATACACACATAACACAGAAGGATGAAAGGATATATGTGCATCAGCTTCATGGCCATAAATGCCACGTTCTGATCCTGAGGCCAGATCTGAATCTTGTTATAATCTGAACTGAACACCCCCCAACACACACACGTGCATACACACAACATGCACACACACATACACACGCACACACACAAGTAATCACAATTCAATCAATAAGGCTTATTCAGAACTGAAGCCTTTTTCTAAGTGGTTAAGGTGGTCAGCACATACACTGTGTATACTCTGGAGGCGAGGGAACTTGAGCCTTTTACAAATGCACTGATCAAGCATAAGCAGACAAAAAATACTTTCATATGCACTAATCATTAATAAGCCAGTACATGAATAAGGGTACTCTACATAAAATAGAGTACCCTTATTTGGCACAAAAGGTTTGGCATGATCTGGTTTGCCTACAGAGATGGCAAGACAAAACCCTGTGTTGACTTTTGAAATTATTAAACTAAAATATGGCAGGATGGAAGTTATTCCTCATTGCCCTCAGTGTCATGTGCTATGTTTATGACTCCAGTTGCCATTTTGGCTCATCTCTCCTCCTTCTGTAGGATAGGGCTAAATTGGCCTTTGTCTTTAGTAGGGACAGGAGACTAGATCTGTGATTTCATTGGTAACTAACTCTCTTGTAAGAAAACTCCCTCTACCAATACAGATTATCACCTTCTCTGTAACTTATAGTTTTAGAGAGTTGTGGAAATCACTGAGAGATTAAATATGCTAGCCAGGGTCACAGAATCAGTGTGCATAGGAGGTAGGACTTGAACCCAAGTCTCCCTGGCTTAAAGTCAGCTCTCTATCCTTAGACACTTATTAGCCATGTGACCCTGCACAAGTCACTTAACCTATATTTGACTCAATTTCCTCAACTGTAAAATGAGGATAACAATAGTACCTACCTCTCAGGGTCATTTTGAGAATCAAATGAAATAATATTCATAGAAAAGTGCTTACCACAGTGCCTGGCACATAGTAGACACTCTATAAATGCTTATCCTCCCTCTCCTGCCTCAGCAGCACAACCACCCCTATCCACTAAGCCACATTGCCTTTTCCTTCATGATAACCCATGGTGGGAGAAAACAAAAAGATAGAAAAGAGTAGCTACCACAGCATGTAACAAAACTACTTCAATTATCTTTAAATCCCTTTGAGAGAACCACAGAATTTTAGAACTTAATGGAATCTTAGAGGTCCTTTTGTAGTAACTCATCATTTTACTAATGAAGTCCCAGTGACCCAGGAAAGAGCTTGCTTTCACTAGCAATCTGATAAAAGACAGAGGACTAGACATCCACACCTTCACTCGGTGATTCTTTCCACTCTATGATGTTAGCTTCTTTTAAAATTTTTTTAAAAGTTACACTCTTTTCTAAGTTCTTTTCAAAAGGTGTCATGTTGCTTCACAAAGGAGAGCTATCTGATCCTCTTAGAGATGGTTGGTATTTTCACTCAATAGAAAAGAGGCAATCAGGAGGTGGAGACAAGGTGGTGAAGTGAAAGCAGTGACTTGCTTGAGCTCTCCCCCAAAGCCCTCCAAATACCTATAAAAAATGGCTCTAAACAAATTCTAAAGCAGCAGAACCCACAAAAAGATAGAGTGAACCGAATTTCCAGCCCAAGAAAATCTGGATGATTGATCAGAAAGGTATATTGCTCCAGACAGATAGAGGAGTGCAGTGTGGCGTGGGAGTCTAGTCCACAGGGACGCTGGAGCAGGCCTCAGAGGACTGAATCGCAGGCAGCTGTGGCAGCTTCCAGACCTCTCAACCCACAAATGCTGAAGACAACTTAGAAGGTCGGTGGGAAAAGCCTGTTTCTGTGGTGAGAGAGGAGCTAGGTCAGAGCTCTGCACGGAGTGCAGAGCACAGAGCGTGGGCACCAGGGTGGTGACTCCATCCTGAGCTTCCAGCCCACAGACTGAGGGAGAATCCACTGGCTGATCAGAGAGGGATTGCAGGGATCTCTTTGCCAGTGCTGAGGCAGGAATCTCTTGCTTTGCCCATGCTTGGATCTGAGTCACATTTCTGGGCAGTGGTCCTGGGTCGACGAGGAATGCTGGTGTGGTGGAGCTTGTAGTGGCAGAGGAAAGGAAATCTTCCTAACATTTCCGTGACAGAAAGGAGTGCTTGTGGTCACTAATAGACCAAATCACAGGCCCGGAAAGGAGCAAACACCTCACCTACCTTGCAAGAACTGAAAATTTACAGGTCCCTACAAGTATCTCTGAAAACAGCTGTATAAACCCCCAAAGCTTGGGACAGTATATTCTCCACATTGGAAGCAGACTCTTACCTTAACAAAGAGTTTAATACTCAAGTAATTGGCTGGGATCATGAGCAAGCAGCACAAAAAGAGTCAGACTATAATATCTTACTTTGGTCACAAAGAAGATCAAAACATACAATCAGAAGAAGACAACAAAGTCAAAGCTCCTACATCCAAAGCCTCCAAGAAAAAATATGAATCAGTCCCAGGCTTGGAAGAGCTCAAAAAGGATTTTGAGAAGCAAGTAAGGGAAGTAGAGGAAAACTGGGAAGAGAAATGAGAGTGATGCAAGACAATTATGAAAAACAAGTCAACAGCATGCTAAAAGAGACCAAAAAAAATACTGAAAAAAATGACACCTTAAAAAATAGCCTAACCCAAATGGCAAAAGAGGTCCAAAAAGCCAATGAGGAGAAGAATGCCCTAAAAACAAAAATTGGCCAGATGGAAAAGGAAGTCCAAAAGATTACTGAAGAAAATACTTCCTTAAAAATTAGAATAGAGCAATTGGAAGATAGTGACTTTATGAGAAATCAAGACACAGTAGAACAAATCCAAAAGAATGAAGAATTAGAAAACAATGTGAAATATCTCATTAGAAAAACAACTGACCTGGAAAATAGATCCAGGAGAGAGAATTTAAAAATTATTGGACTATCTGAAAGCCATGATCAAAAAAAGAGCCTAGACATCATCTTTCAAGAAATTATCAAGGAAAACTGCCCTGATATTTTAGAACCAGAGGGCAAAATAGAAATTGAAAGAATCCACAGATCTCCTCCTGAAAGAGATCCCCAAAGGAAAACTCCTAGGAATATTGTAGCCAAATTCCAGAGTTCCCAGGTCAAGGAGAAAATATTACAAGCTGCCAGAAAAAAACAACTTAAGTATTGTGGAAACACAATCAGGATAACACAAGATTTAGCAACTTCTACATTAAAGGACCGCATGGAATATAATATTCCGGAGGGCAAAGGAGATAGAATTACAACCAAGAATCACCTACCCAGCAAAACTGAGCATAATCCTTCAGGGGGGAAAATGGCCATTCAGTGAAATAGAGGACTTTCAAGCATTCTGATGAAAAGACCAGAGCTGAATAGAAAATTTGACTTTCAAATACAGGACTCAGTGGAACATGAAGAGGTAAACAGGAAAGAGAAATCATAAGAGACTTATTAAGATTGAACTGTTTACATTCCTGCATGGAAAGATGATATTTATAACTCATGAGACCTTTGTCAGTATTAGGGTAGTTGGAGGGGTAAAAATTATATGTATGTAGATAGATAGATAGATAGATAGATAGATAGATAGATAGATAGATAGATGGCACAGGGCAAGTTTAAGATTAAGGGGTCATATCTGGAGAATAAAATTAAGGGATGAGAGAGGATTATGCTAGGAGAAGAAGAAAGGGAGAGGTAGAATGGGTAAATTATCTCACAAAAAAAACAGAAAAAAAAGCTCTTCAGTGGAGGGGAAACAGGGGGGGAGAGGGAATGAGTGAATCTTATTCTCATAGGATTTGGCTTAAGGAGGGAATAACATACACATTCAATTGGGTATGGAAATCTGTCTTACCCTACAGGAAAATAGGGGAGAAGGGGACAAGAGAGCAGGGGGATGATAGAGAGGAGGGCAGATTGGGAAAGGGGGTAATCAGAAGCAAATACTTCTGAGGAGGAACAGGGTCAAAAGAAAGAATAGAATAAACGGGGGTGGGGCAGGATAGGATTAAGGGAAATAGAGTTAGTTTTTCTCAACATGTCTATTATGGAAGTGTTTTGCATGGCTGCACATGTATAACCCATATTGAGTTGCTTGCCTTTTCAATAAAGGTGGGTGGGGAGGGAGGAAGGGAGAAAATTTGGAACCCAAAGTTTTAAAAGCACATGTTTAAAAAAATATTTTCACATGCAACTGGGAAATAAAAATGCAGGAAATGGGGTACAGAAGTCTATCCTGCCCTACAGGAAAATAGAAAGGGAAGGGGATAAGAGAAGGGGGGAGAGATAGAAGAGAGGGCAAACTAGGGGAAGGGGTATTCAGAATGCATGCCATCTTGGGGTGGGGGGAGGGGTGAAATGGGGTGAAAATTTGGAATTCAAAATCTTGTGGAAGTAAATGTTGAAAACTAAAAATAAATAAATTTATATGAAAAAGAAAAAAAAAGGGCCAATCAATACCTGAAGTGAGTATTCTTTCTAAATTATTTCATGCGTGCATCTTTTCAGAAGGAAACAATTTTCAAATTTATGTAGTGAAACAAGTTCTATAAATTCACATTAACAAGTTCAGTTTGGGAATAGTAGAAACCTTTATTTGGCACTTAAGGCTCTAAAATATGGCTTTCTATCTATCCCACAACATTCTTCTACATGTGTCGATACTTGAGTAAAACTTGACTAATTTTCCTGATTGTGTGCTGTGCTGTTTCTTCTTTATATGCCCAACCACTCTATCCCCCTTCTGCCCTCATTTCCTTCATTTAAGAAGTGTTGTATCCTCCATATTTTGTAAAGTACATGGCACATAGTTGGAATTTAATAAATATTTATTGACTGACTAATATCCTATCCATCCAAAAATCAGATAAAAAAAATCACTTCCTCCCAAAAACCTTAACTGACATCTTGAACTGAAAATGTCCTTTTTCCCTTCTGACCTCAACTTGATCATGCTAAATTATGTTTTCCTACACTTTTTCATCTCTGAGTGGTGATAAGGATGAGAAAAGTTATACCTTCTTGGATTAAGGCAGCATGAGAAAATGCTGGGTGGCAGAAAAGTGCACTAACAGTTACGAGTACTACTGACTGAATGAGAAAGCCCTTAAGAACCAAAGATATTTTTATTAAAATAATAAAATTTATAGTAGAAGAGAGACTACAAGAGTTCTTTTTTCTTGTGAGGATGCTTAAACAGTGTGTCTGTATGAATAAGATTTTGAGGTTTTACTCTACGTAAAGAAATTCAGAGAGGCAACTAGGTGGCACAGTGGATAGAGCATTGGCCTGGAATCAGGAGGAACTGAGTTCAAATCTGACCTCAGACACATAACATTCACTAGCTGCGTGATTGTGGGCAAGTCACATAACCCCAACTGCCTCACCAAAAAAAAAAAAAATTCAGGATTTTTAAAAATGTTCTCATCAAAAGTGTTAGTGGTAGTAGTGGTGGTGAGGATGGGCAAGATTAAGACATTGTTAAAATTTAAGCATATTGGTAACATATCCAGTTATACCTAGGTGTTTATGTTTCATTAAATTATATTATAGTTTCAAATCCTATTTATTCAGTAGCATTAATTGGTATTTATACTTAGGTATTTTCATTAAGAATTTCATTTTGTGTATATGTTTTTAAAAATCCCAGCACATCAGAATTTGAAAGGATATTAGATGACATTTAGTCCAACTCATATTTGATTGAGACCTTTTTCTAGAAAATGATTGGAAATCAGTCATCAATCTTAAAAACCTCCAGGGAAGGGTAATCTATGACCCTTTGTGGTAGCCAATTCCACTTTTGCCCTGCTCTTATTTTAAAAGTCTCTTCCTTTACATTGAGCTGAAATCTGACTCTCTGATCCTTTCTTCTGCCCCTCCTACTTCCACCTAGGAGCCAAGCAAAATAAGTCCTGTCATTTTTACACATTATGACCTTTCAAATATGTAACCATAGTTATGATGTTTTATCTTGATCTATTCTTCTCTACACTAAACATGCCCAAATCTTTTAGTCAGTATTTGTATAGAGTGATCTGCAGTCTCCTCACTAGTCACATTCTTCTGGATGTATGCTACCTTGTCTGTCCCCTTCCTAAAATGTAATGTCCAGAAACTAGCATTATGTTCCTGATGTAAACTGACCAGAGCAGAATACAGTGGAATGATCACCTCTTTCTTCCTGGACATACTGCAAGGTCTAAATCAGCGGTAGCATTTGGGCACTGCCATATAACCCTCTTGACACATTTTGAGTTTGTGATTGTCTGAAATTCCCAGATATTTTTTTCCAGAATAATTCTGTCTAAACATTCCTGCCCTTTGCTGAACTTCAGAAGTTATTTGGCCTGATTATAAAAGGTTTATTTTTAAGATGTATTACATTTCAAAATATATCTGACCCATTTTTTTCTAGCCTGTGAATATCCCTTCGGATCCTGATTCTGTTAAACAGAGTGTCAACTGCCCCTCCCAGCTTGATGTCACCTTTAGATATGACAAACAAGCTCTCCATCGATCAGTGGATCAATGAAGAAGCATTTATTAAGCACTTCCTTTGTGCCAGCTGGGTTCTAGGATCACAAGTACAAGAAGTCATTCAGTTGAGTGAGTGAGAAACTCAGAAACCAGATTTCAAGGAGTTGAGGGGTAAGGGAAGAGGGAGTAGGGTCAACAAATGTAGATATTTTTTCTAAGAGTTGGGCTCAGAAAGGGAGGAGGGATTTAGGATAATAGTTTAATATGCATTCACCAACTGAAATACCTCTTTCTCCATGAAGTTTTCCTTGAAGCCAGGAAAGGGAAGAGAGTTATCCTTTCTCTATCTCCTAAAGCAATTTATACTTCTCTTATGGCACTTAACATATCTATCATGTTGACTTAAAGGGTTAGCTCCCCCTTAATTTTCCACAGAGACCTATGTTTGCAGGGTGCATTTGGAGAGTATTCATTCAAGGCAAATGGTTGTGTACTAATAACATAATAAGAGTAATATAAAGGAGAGAACAGAAAGAAAGAAAGAAAGAAAGAAAGAAAGAAAGAGGACATTTTTCAGCATTGGTGAAACCAAAGCTTATCGTTTGGATCACACAAAAGTTTAGTAGTGTTATTGAGTTAAAAAAAAAAAGCTATTTGTGAAACTGAGTTAATTGACTTGCCCAAGACCCCATAGGAAGTTAATGGTGTGGTTAAAAATAAACTTATTTTTTTCCTGCTCTCAAACTAATGTTCGATCTATCATGCTGGTACCTGACCACAAATGGCATTCTGCTTATGAGGGAGGTCACCCAGAGAGTTTCTGATTTAAGAATATACTCTATCACTTTTGGCTGCATAGAGTATAAGATTCTAGCATTGGCAGTGGGGGTGGACTGTTGTTGTTCCGTTATTTTCAGTTATGTATGTCTGACCCCATTTGGAATTTTCTTGGCAAAGATTCTGGAGTGGTTTGCCATTTCTTTCTCCAGCTCATTTTACAGATGAGTAACTGAAGCAAATAGGGTTAAGTGACTTGCCCAGGGTCACACAGCTAGTAAGTGTCTGAGCCAGATTTGAACTTAGGAAGATGTATCTTCCTGACTCCAAGGCCATCACTCTATCAACTGAACCACTGAGCTGACATCTGTGGGCAAGATGACCTCCGTGTTGCTCAGAACCAAGCACAATATCATACTCCACTTGTAAATTAGTTGTTCAGTTGTTCAGTCATTTTCAGTTATGTCTGACTCTTCGTGACCCCATTTGGGTTTTTTTTGGGGGGGCAGGGACACTGGGGTGGTTTTCTACTTCCTTCTCCAGCTCATTTGCCTGAGGAGGAACATGAGGCAAACATGGCTAAGTGACTTGCCCAGGGTCACACAGCTAGTAAATATTTGGGGCCAGATTTCAACTCAGGAAGATGAGTCTTCCTGATTTCAAGCCCAGTGATCTATCTAATATGCCACCTAGCTGACCCTGTAAACTAGTACTTAGGCAAAATACATTATTTTGAATGTCATTATCACTCTATTGACTCCTTTTGAGCTTGTTGTCTCCCTTCTCCAAGTTGGTTTTCAAGCAAACTGCCATCTAGCCATATCTCCATCCATCACGTTTCTGTTGACTGTTTGAACCCAAGTTTAAGACTTTATATTTATCACCTGGAAAGACTTGTATGGTCTGATGCTGAGTGAAGTGAACAGAACCAAGAGAACATTGTACACAATAACAGCCATGTTGTGTGATGACTAATATTGATAAACTTAACTCTTCCCAGCAATACAAGGATCTAAGACATCTCCAGAGGCCTCGTGATGGAAAATGCTGTCCACATCCAAAGAAAGAACTATGGAAGTTGAATTGCTATTTTTTTCTCTTCTGTTGAGTTTTGTTCCCTCTTTCTGATGGTTCCTCCTATTGGTTTTAATTTTTACTTACAACGTCACTAATGTGAAAATATGTTTAATAGGAATGTAAATGTATAGGCTATATCAGATTGTGAGCCGTCTTGGGGAGGGTGGTGGGGGGAGGAAAGGGGAGAAAAATTTTAAACTCAAAAGCATATGGAAGTGATTATTGATAAATCAAAATAAATTAATAAAAAAAGACTTTACATTTATCCCTATTAAATTGTATCATATTAGAATTGTCTGAACAGTCTAAACCAGGGCTTAGATCTTGTTTATGTCATGGACTCCTTTGGAAGATTGGTGAAGCTTATGAACCCCTTCTCAGAATAATGTTTTTAAATGCATAAAATTAAATATATAAGATTACAAAGGAAACCAATTATTTTGAAAGTTATAGAATTTTTTTCAAATGCAAATTCATAAACTACAGTTTAAGAACTCATGTTTTAGGTGCCAGTTCCACCATGGTGGCCTGAGAGGCCCCAGCTGCCCCCCAGACTACTGGGTGTCTTGTGGCTCCTGTCTGTGACCATGAGCACAGGCTGTGGTGGGCAGTGGCCACCAATGCAGTGAGGCGATAGGATGGTCAAGCGCAAGAACCTGAGAGTGGGACAATATTTATGTAAGATCCTGAAATAAATGAGGGCACTCAAGAACCTGTTAACTGCACAAATTGCACGGCTCATCACAATATGCTACCCAGCACCCAACATAACTTGCAAGGATTTTAGTGGTAATGAAACCCATTTTACTGGAAACAAAGCTGTCTTTTTTAAGACCCTACCATTCTGTGATGTAAACAGCTATTCCTACTGGGCAACAGTTTCTCTCTTTTTCTATTTCTTGGCTTGTTGGAAGAAGACAGGTTTTACTTAGGTTACTCTACTTTAGACTTGTTAACGTTTTGCACATAATCTGATGGACTTCATTCTCATTTCAATGCAGATTGTTGGTCCTTCTGATGGCACTAGTTACATTACAGATTATTATGGAAGAGGACTTACAAGGCCAAGCATTACCAACGAAACATTTAGAAAAGCACAGAGGTGCTCATAGATACTTAGAAAACAGATCAATGGTTTTGTGTCTCCCTGATTTTAAGAGAATTGCAGAGCTTGAAATCCCATGCTTTCTAATTGTTCTTCTTCACACAACATGCTTTGGTTGCTTCAATGTGATTTTTCCTGGAGATTTTTTAGATATTTTATTCTGAGATTTGGTTGACTGGAGACTTCTGAGGCCTCTTCTGTCCCTTAGAGAGCTTTATCACCCACCTGCCCACCTTCCTGTCCCACCCCAAATGCCTTTTTCTATAAGCAAGTTGTGGCTTGTCATTTTTCCTTCTTCAAAATAAAACAATAGAAAAAAAACATATCTTAGCCTATCAAAATCTTTCTGAATCCCTACTCTGTCATCTGATATATTAATTATTTCTCCTTTCTTTGTCTCACCAGCAAATATCATGAATATGCCCAATGTCTTTATCTAAGCCATTGACAAAAAATGTTGAACAACTTAGGGTGAAGTGCAGATCCCTGGAAAACTCTACCAGGGACCTCATGGTTATACTAAAACATTAATGACTACTCTGGTATCCCACAAAATTGTTATAAAATTTTTCCTTATCTTGATCTTAAATACACCTCACAGTAAATATCCAGTTGTCTAAGTTCTGGTGTCTTTAGAGACATAGAACAAGTTATTTCTCACACTTACCTTCACATCCTCAGTCTAGCTATTGTATCAGAAAGTTATGACCTTGGGGATCAATGAGGACATGGCAATGTCTTGGCCTCAAAGCCTTTTACATCTGCAGACCTCGTGTCTTGCTCTTCTTGTGGGTGCAGGGAGAGAGTAATGACTACGCTTGTCTCTGCAATATAATCTCAAAGCTCAAGATACACAAAATCAAATCAGTTGCATATTTACCATGCTCATCTGTCCCCAGGAGAGTCTCAAGATAACCTACTGGTTACAATCCATCCAGAATCTTTTGTCCCTATTCCCTTAATACACAGGAGAGTGGATAGCTTTACAATTTGGACATGTAGTGATGATACATTTATTATACAAAGAAAGCAGAGTCCTATAAAAGGCAAAATGGTTCAGTGGTTTAAAAAAAAGCAGACTTGGAGGTAGCAGACTTGGGTTTGAGTCACAGATCTTTCACTTATTGGATATATGACCTTGGACCAATCAGTTCCTTCCCTCCAAGGGCTTACATTCCATCAACGGAGATAGCATGTACACACAGAAATCTCATGGAAACTGTTAAGGTCACTAGTGGTGTGAGTATGAGGAAAAAAAGATAAAACCTTTCCTATCTCAGAGTTTTATTGGGAAGTCCAAATCATATGAAGACACTTTGAAGAAGTGTAAGGGGTATGTAAGAGATTATTACTGTTTTTATCATTATTATTTTAGCAAGAACCTTCCTTAGATACTACTCCTACCTCTAGAGTATGACCCATGAGTTTAAATTTAATAGTGTGAATTTCCGGACCAGGACAATATGACAGAGGATGAACAGAAAGCTGATTGTAGATGTATTTAGGGAGCAACTGTAACTGTCAGTTTGCATTGCCCATCTCCATTTATGGAGAGGATGTCTTCTGTCCTATCCACCAACATGGGATCATCAAAGGATAAGAGCATTTTTTATCTATATAGCGCTTTGTGGTTTACACATTGCATTAATATGCATGGACATTACAATAACCTTTATAGATAGGCAGAACATCTCTAGTCTACATAAAATTGACAGTGGTTAAATGATTTATTCTATCTATTGATAGATATGGAAATAGAACTCAGGTCTCCTGACCCTAGCCTGGAATTACTTTGATACAATGAGCTGCCTTTACCTAGAAGTGAAGACAAGTATGTTGGTGTGTGATTTTTTTGGTTGGTTTGTTTGTTTGGTCCAGACCTGTGAGTTTATCTTATTGGGAACTTCTTGTGTGGAAGCTCCTTTCGCTGATGTCATTCTTCAATACTTCTCTAACATATTGTCTTAGATGCCAGAGGCATGAAGAGATTAAGTGACTGGTTTGTCAGAGGAAGGACTTTAACCTAGATCTCCCTCACTCCTAGATAGGACTTCTACCTCCTTTGGTGCCAGAAAAAAAGATGGGATGGGACTGTATTTTGTTAGGCCTACCCTGCTGAAGGTCCTGAATTATTAAATCAATTGTATCCTCATTTGTAGGGGAGGAACTGCTGTCAGGTGGTGAGGCACAGACAGTGAGAAAGCCTCTGTATGACTCCCCTAGTGAGAATGCCCTCTCCTTCTTAGATGGAATAAAGGCTCTGAAAGCCCATATTGTCTCCAGGATGCCTTGATTATTATCACATTCTGCTGTGCACTCAGCGTTATTCTTATGCCAATGCAGGTGGTGTGTTTTATGGGCTTTCCTGCTGGTATTGACATTTTCCTTTCTGAGACCTGTTTTCTAAGAAACTCTAATTTGGACTTTTGTCTGTTGGCAGCAGGGGGTGGGGGTGGGGGGTGTGGAGAGAGGCAGGCCATGTCATGGGCTTATGGAATCATGGAGCAATCAATGCCCAAACATTAATTGTATTTTTTCTCTACTGTTTTGTCCCTAATGCAGGAGAGTAGATAGTGAGAAGGAGGATGTAACTTCAAGGTGGAAATAGCTTCAAACCATTTCTGCTGAGGCTTTCTCATGGGCAATATGGTATGGATTGAACAATTGAACCTAGAAAGTTGGGTTATAAACCTGACTCTGCTACTTACTATAATTTCTATAGCTTTATTGCTAGGGCAATACAGGGGTAATAATATTAATAACTCAAATTTATACGCTAAAGTTTTCAAAGCTCCTTGCATTCATTTATTAAGATTAAGACAGACATCAGATGTTGTCTACATTTTACTGGTGAGAAAACTGAGGTTCGGAGAGGTGAAATCACTTTCCCATAGCTAATAAGACTGAAATGTGGGATTTTAGACCAGATCTTCCTGGCTTTAAGTCCAGTAT